TGGCCGAAACCGACTCCAGAAGGCGATTTCATATCACCCCCATCCAAAAGTATTAACTTTGTTAGATATCCAAATCATCCAGCGCAAGGTTGAAATATTCTGACAGAATACTGGTTAAAAACGTGCCTGGGCTTTCAGCTGCTATCCGTGCTGCCAGTATGATTAATAATTACGTAGGTTATACTCCTGACTGTCTGATATAACGCGGTGAAAAAGACCAATGTTTGGTTTGCAATGTAAACGCATTTACTACGACGCGGTCATCAGAGACAGGCGAGGCCCAAGAGAGAGCGAGATAGATAAGTCCCGTTAGCGGTCAGGTGGACGCTCATCAACGAGTGTCAGTATCCCCCTGATCTAAACCGGCTAGAAAACGAGCTCGTGGCTGAATGGTTAGGGGGTTTGCCTCTGATCAAAAGGTCGCAATTTTGAGGCTCGAGTGGGGTACCACTTGGGTCTGGGTATGTTTGGCTAAGGACGGTTTATTAGCCAGGAATGGCCATTACAGTCTCGCTAGCCTTTGCCGGCAATACTATCTGCCTATGTCACCACACCCCACATACGCGGCATTTGTTGTAGGATGTGTGGAATGCGGATAGCCTACGTAACGCGTGTCATAAATCAATCTGGACTCCGTTTTGGTCAAACGCATCACCAGTCCGGTCCGATGTGGGGGCTGTAGATTCACACAGGCAGAGACACTCATCATCAACATTTAGGACGGTCTGTCCGTTTATGAGCTGAAAAAATTTCACTGTCTTTTTTACAGGTAACTTTTCTTGTAACCTATATCTCAAGTGGAAGATATATCACAGCGTCTTAAGTTAATGGGAAAGGCGCTAGCTGCTGCGAGCTTCAGGGCCGGGTTCCTTGCGGGAATAGAGGAAGGGGGACGCCAGGTGGAGGGAATAGTATTATATGTCAAGCGAAGAAAAGCCAAAATTCTGGCTCGCCATTCCCTACGTGTAAAACGTTTCAGAGGCGACTGCACGAATTCTATAATCCTTTGGGATCGGAGTGGCGCATAGACCAGATTTTATAATCAGACAACAAATCATGAAGCCCAAAGACCCGCTGCCAGCAACCGAGCAATCAGCCGTAGTCTACAGCATACCATACAAAAACTGCGAGGCAAGGAATGTTGGGGAAACGGGCAAACGTCTGGGCAAAAGATTGCACGAACATCAACTTGCAATCAATCGCAAGGACAAGCTGTTCTTACTCTATGGTCATATGCAACAGCTCAACCACGAATTCGTCTTTGAAAAAGCGAGGGTGATCGGCAGAGCCAATGAGAAAATGGCCAGGCTAGTGCTGGAAAGTTTTTCCTCCACTGGCGCAATTAACAGAGCTATCGACCTGAACCTTGCCTACCAGGCGCTTCGCACAAGACTCGGATCAAGTCGGCCAGAGCCAGTAGGGCAA